CTATAATATCCTTTTTAAGGTGTGGTGACCAGAACTGCACACAGTATTCCAAATGAGGTCGCACCATTGATTTATATAGGGGCATTATGATATTGGCTGATCTGTTTCCAATACCCTTCCTAATAATCCCCAGCATAGCATTGGCCTTCTTTATTGCAGTCACACACTGTCTCGACATTTTCAGTGAGTTATCTACTATGACTCCAAGATCTCTCTCTTGATCAGTCTCTGCCAGTTCAGACCCCATCAATGTGTATTCCATCGGCACCCGCAGCTTCAGAAATGTTGGGGACCCCTGGACTGGACTAACAGTCACCAGGTTGCTGAACTACAACCCCAAGAGGATTCACCCCTTGACAAACTGCCCCCACCCCCCAACCAACCCAACCGCTCAAGGTCTGGCTATGTCTTCGTTCACCTTCCATGGGTAACGAAGTCTGAGTCCAGTGGCACCTTTAAGACCAACAAAGTTTAATTCTGGGTAGAAACATTAATGTGCTTCTACCCAGAATTAAACTCTGTTGGTCTTAAAGGTGCCATTGGACTCAGACTCTCTTCGGTTGCTTCAGACCAACATGGCCGCCCCACCTGAATCTATTTCCCTGGGTAACGAAAGGTCCTGATTGGGGATGCCTCCCGATAACAGCAGTGTTCGTTTTTGGAAGACAAGGTGCTTGGCCGGACACTGTGTTTGCAAAGCCTGGCGACCCAGAAGCGAGGGGCAGGATCACACACACCCCCACACCCCGCAGCGGCATGGGCATCTCCGCACCCTTGGCCTGCTCACCTCCGTGACGTACTGCAGGAGCGCCATGCGGGCCAGCTTCTCCTGGATGGCTCCGAAGTTATAGATCTTGTCTCCAAACTGGGTCCGGTTCGCCGCGTGAGCCACCTTTGGAATGAAGAGGGAAGGCGGCTGTCAGGCAGAGGAGAGGATCGGACAGGGCCGGAAGGACGGACGCGGGAAATGCCAGCGAGCCTCCCCACCCCCGGGGTGTGTGTGTGTGTGTGACTCACCGCTTTGCTGATGACGCCACGCATGGTACCAGCCATCGCGGCAGCCATGCCGAAGCGCCCGTTGTTAAGGATATTCATGGCGACCTTGAAGCCGGCGCCGGGGGCCCCCAAAACGTTCTCCACCGGGACGCGGACGGCATCAAAGTGGACCTCGGCGGTGTTGGACGCCTTGATGCCCATCTTCTTCTCCGGTGGGCCACTGGAGGGGCAGAGGGAGGCCTTGGGTCTCCAGCAGGGCCTCTTTTCCCACCCCCAAGAGGGTCAGGCCGCCCCCTTCCTGGACTTGCACCACGCTCAGCCTGGCCCCTTCACTTGGACCCAGCCCTCGGTGGTGCGGGTCCATAAGTCACGCCGGCCCCCTGCCGTGCGATTGCTGGGGAGGGGCGATCCGCGGACCCGGTTCCCCCTTGCAAAAGGGCCGCGGCAACAGAAGACGGCTCTCTGCTAAAGGGGTTTTTCTCCTCCCCCCCCAACCAGGTTACTCACTGTGTGACGCCCCCAAAAGATCGTTCCACGATGAACGCCGTTATCTTGTCCTTCACCTCACCAGTCGCCTCGTCCTTCAGGGGCGTTCTTGCAAAAACCGTGAAGATCTCGGCCAGCCCACCATTGCTGCAAGGGGTCAACGGGTCAGTCTGGGAGGGGCCTCCAACCCCACAGGGTTCAGGGTGCCTCCTTCAAGCGCTCCCCAAACCCCGGCTTCAGTGGAGACCTGGACCTTTGCCCACTGCCAGGATTAAATCTGGAAGACGTGACGCTAAAACAGAGTGCCTCTGAGCACGCCTAGAGAGCCAAGCCCTGTGAACTGAGCCAGACTGTGAGCATCAGAAACACTTTTGGCAACACTGAATAGAGCTGCAAAACAGGGTTAGGTAGAGAATTGATATGGGCCAAGCTTTCTTTTCTTGTGTGGGTCTATGTGCTTGCGAGCCTGGAAGTCGTGGTGACTTCTGGTGACCCCCTAGTGGGGCTCGGATATTTTAGAGAGGTGGCTCGATATTGCCTGCCTCTGCGTCCCGGCCCTGGTATTCTTTGGAGGTCTCCCTTCCAAGTCCTTGCCAGGGCCGGCCCTGCTTAGCGCCCGAGATCTGAGGAGACCGGGCTTGCCTGGGCTATCCAGGTCAGGGCTGGACCAAACATTCTCGCAGGGTTGAAAAGCCCAATGTGAACTTGGGCAGAAAGCCATTCTCCCCCGTATCACGTGAGACAAATCTGGATCAGGCCTAACAGTTTCCCACAGGTAAAGGTTCCCCTTGCTCGAAAGCCAGTCGAAAACCGACTCTAGGGATGCGGTGCTCATCCCCGTTTCCAAGCCGAAGAGCCAGCGCTGTCCGAAGACGTTTCCGTGGTCATGTGGCCGACTGAGAGCATGTGACTCTCAATGCTGCCTAGCAAGTGTCACAACTGAGTGGAGACTTTAGTCCCGGTCTTCAGGGTCCTGGAGTGATACACAAGCCGCCACTTCATGCCAGCTAGTCGGTCTGCCTGTAAAGGGTACCTCTGAATACCAGGTGCTGATGTTAAAACAAGAAACAGAGGTGGGGGCATGAGGCGGGCTTCATATGTTGCGCAGCACGTTCCCAGTTGAACCAGTAACTTAAGAACGTGTAGCACACCTTAGCAGAGTTCCATTCACCAGCTACTCCTAATAGTAACCACTGGACTGTGTTGTGTGGTGAGCTATTGGGAGTAGCTGGTGAGTGGAACTCTGCTAAGGTGTGCTACACGTTCTTAAGTTACTGGTTCAACTGGGAACGTGCTGCGCAACATATGAAGCCCGCCTCATGCCCCCACCTCTGTTTCTTGTTTTAACTTCAGCACCTGGTATTCAGAGGTACCCTTTACAGGCAGACCTACTAGCTGGCATGAGGTGGCGGCTTGTGTATCACTCCAGGACCCTGAAGACTGGGACTAAAGCCTCCACTCAGTTGTGACGCTTGCTAGGCAGCCTTGAGAGTCACACGCTCTCAGTCTAACCTACCTCACAGGGTTGTTGTGAGGGCAAAACGAGGGGGAGGGCTGAAATGAACTGCGTATGCCACCTTTGGAGGAAGTGGAAATCCAAAAACAACATCCGTTACAAAATAACAAAGAGTCAATAAAGATATGTTGCAAAATCTTTGTGAAGACCTTGGGTTCTGTTATTAGAGTGTCAAACATGGGATGTTTTCTTCAAGAGTTGATAAGTAGTAACTGATAAGAATTGTGATAGCGACACAGATAAAGCAATTATTGTGAAACAAACTGTTTACATTGTGCAGCATTCGTTGCATGTGAGCGATAATACAAGATAATTTTCTATAGAATTACTACAGTAAATGATTTTGCAACGTATCTTCATTGACTCTTCATTATTTTTGTCATGGATGTTGCTTTCGGATTTCCACTTCCTCCCGTGATCTCTCATTTTTGCCTTTGGAGGAAGAGCAGGATACAAAAAGAGAGCTATGGACTTGGCTGGGTTTCCTATGTCAGCTTCCTTAGCCAGTGGTCTGCTTGTGGCAGTGAGTTCCATAAGCTAATCCTTACAATGCTAGGCACGTTTCCTTTTGGTCTGTCTCAGATTCATCAGTCATCAAACAGATTGTGAATTCTAGTGTTATGGCAAAGGACAGGGTGAGAACCCTATCAGTCTTCTTCAACCAGGCATGAGCACAGCCAAACTTTTAAGCCCTTTCACAATGAAGTGTGTGCAGGGGCAGAGAGTTTCCAAAGATCTTTGGGCATCTTCAGCCCCTGTCTTTTCAAAAAAGAAGTGTGTTCACATCCCGGAGGAGGCCTTCACCCGCCCCCACCGTGCCCCTCCTTCCCAACTGACAACCAGTGGGGCGCAGGGGCTAAGCGTCCGACTAGGACCTGGGAAACCCAGATTCGGATCCCCACTCTGCTGCGGAAGCTTGGGCCAGCCCCGCATTCTCAGCCTGGCCTACCTCACGGGGTTGTTGTGAGGATAAAACGCTGGAGAGAAGGAGGAGGTGAGCAGCTTGAGGTCCCCGTTGGGAGGTGAAAGGCAGGGTGTAAAGGAAATACGCAAGCAAATAACCCAACCTGATCCAGATCTTTCCCCCGTTCAGAGTATAGTAGGTGCCGCAAGGGCTCAGCTCAGCTGTCGTGCGGATCGAGGCCGCGTCCGAACCGCTGGCAGGCTCCGTGAGGCAGAAGGCAGCAATGGTCTCACCTGCGGAGGGAGAAAGGGGAAGGTGCCGGTATGGGAAAGAAGCTGCCAGGAATGGGGGAGACCCCTCTAGGGCGTGGGTGTGTGAGTCAGTTGACACCAACGCTGGGATTGGGGTGCCCTCGCCTCACCCCCTCACCCCCTTCTTAAGGCACCCCGTGCTGGAGGGGCCACATTTCCGTACCCGTCGCCAGTTTGGGAAGATACTTTTCCTTCTGCTCCGGGGTGCCGTAGAGGAGGATCCCCTTGAACCCAATCGACTGATGAGCCCCGAGGGTGATGCCCACCCCCAGGTCATGCATGCCGACGATTTCCACCAGCCGGGCGTACTGCAGCGTGGAGAGAAGAAAGGGGGTCAGCCAAAGAGCGCCCATAATCCTGGATGGTCTCCCTAAACGCTGAAGAGGCTCCGGCTGACACCGCCTTCCTCAACAGGGGTGGGGAAAGACCAAGACTCTCCCTTCCCGAGAAGGTAGGATGTTTGTGAACGTTCCGTGCCCCCGCAGCAGCAGCGGCTGAAGCCTGGACTGGCAGAAACAGTGGCTCCTGCAAATGAGCTGCTTTTGAATTTGTGGGCTCCTTTTATACTCCCCTAAGAGCCAGTTTGGTGTAGTGGTTAGGAGCGCGGACTCTAACTGGGGAGAACCGGGTTTGGTTCCCCATGCCTCCACTTGCAGCTGCTGGTGTGACCTTGGGTCAGTCACAAGTTCTCTCAGAGCTGTTCTCTCAAGGGCAGTCCCCGAAAGAGCTCTCTCAGCCCCACCTGCCTCCCAGGGTGTCTGTTGTGGGGAGGGGAAGGGAAAGGAGATTGTAAGCCGCTCTGAGACTCCCTTGGGTAGTGAAGGGTGGGGGGCCCCTAGAGAGAGCACACCAATGCTAGAGGAGATCTGAGTCTCACCTGGGTGTTGCTGAGGCCCAGGCCCCCCAGAGAAACGGGGATCTGCAAGCCAAACGCGCCGAGCTCCTTCAGGCCCTGCATCGTCCTGTCTTCCACCTTCTCCAACACATCGTTCTTTTCCGGGTCGTTCACCTCCTGTGGGAGGGATGGGACAGAGCGTCACTGTGGGGGACCAGTTTTGCCCCCTCCGTCTCCCTCAAACCCTGGCACGGGCCATCCCACCCGGCCCCGCCACCAGGGGTCATTTCGTAGAAAAAGAGGTGCAGGAGCTCATTGGCATAACTCATTAGCGTAACCCATTTGCATAGGCCACACCCCCTGACATCACCGGAAGTGTGTCAGGAGGCAACACCCACCGCTCAGGCTCCACTGGACTGTTTTGGATTGCTAGCTATTGGGGGGGGGGATGTGCAGATCTGTTCTTGCAGAGGAGGGAGAGCTTGTACCTGAATAAAACTTGGTCTTAAAGGTGCCACTGGACTGTTTTGGATTGCTAGCTATTGGGGGGGGGGGAACGTGCAGATCTGCACTCCCAGAGGAGGCTGCTTCTTGCTCCTCGTGGCCTGACTGAGGGCTGCTGGGAGCAGGGGGCGGGGCTTGTTGCATGTGCCCGCCCCCCAGGCTCCTTACTGCCGGAGCTCCGTCCTGTGCGCTCCCGCAGGAAATGACCCCTGCCCGCCACCCACATCCATTCACAGCCCCCCCAAAGGGGTCAGCACTGCCCTCCCCTCTGACTCCTCACCTCAAAGAAGCGAGAGACCGGGCCCACCAGTTCTTGCAGCGTCTGGGCTTGGTCTTCACTGAGGGCTGCAATGAAGGGGAAGGGTCAGTCCCGCCATTTGCACCCCCCCCCCCCAAGTCACCCTTCTCAGAAAAGGGACTGAAAATAAAACTGCCAGTCCGGTAATGCCCCCGGATAGACTGACGGTCAATGCTCCCTCTCCGCTGTGGAGTCCCGTGAGCAAAAATTCTACTTTGTGAGCTACGGGCATTCAAGTGGGGAGCGAGCCATTTGACCGCTGCACAAATCAGTTTGCTCTGGGGCCCCATCCTTCCCCAGTGAAGACAGAAATGTGTGAGCCGGAGGCCAAAAACTCAGCTGAGAGGGAACACTGGCGACAAGGCTCCCTCTAAGACAGTGGTGGCGAACCTATGGCACGGGTGCCAGAGGCGGCACTCAGAGCCCTCTCTGTGGGCACGTGTGCCATCGCCCCGGCCAGGCCCAGACCGTCATTAAAGTGTCGAATTCTCTGCCAAATAATTTTAAGTCAATGAAAGCATTTGGGATTGCTTTCCTTACTTTCTTTGGATCATCTTAAGTTAATCTATGGGTTGTTTTTTCTAAAGTAAAACCTCCGTATTCAGGTTAAATGGCCGTGTTGGCACTTTGAGAAAAATAAGTGGGTTCTGGGTCGCAGTTTGGGCACTCGGTCTCTAAAAGGTTCGCCATCACTGCTCTAAGATGTGGAGTCTTGTGAGCAAAAATTCTACTCTGTGAGGTACGGGCATTAGAGTTACAAGCAAATTTGGCTGCTGCATCAGTTAGTCTGCTCTGGAGCCCCATACTTCCTGAGC